TCGCGAATAAACATGATCTACGTCTTTAATCGCAACGGCTGCATCTTCTACCGGGAATGGTATCGTCCGAACCCGCCGAACACGGACGACCACAAGCTCATGTTCGGGCTCGTCTTCTCCCTCCGCTCCTTCACCGCCAAAATGGATCCCATCAAGTACGCTAATTCTCCGCTGCCACCCGGAAATGGATCTTGTTCAGTGCGCAACCCCGCGTTCGTCTGTCTATCACTTCTTTGGTGTCACCTTGAATGTCATCCTCTTGAATACGCGAACCACTGTTTCTTCTGTACAACCGCAGATTAGGGCCCCTCCTCCATGTCTCACCTCAACAGTGGTGCAATTCATCTCAGCTCAATCATTCTCGTGAACATCTCAATTCATTTCAGCTCCTACTACCGTATCCGATTGGCCAGATTATGTCAAGATCCTGGCTATACCCACGTTCGCATTCCAGTCAGCATTCCTCCTCGGTCTTGCTCTCTTTTCATTTCCCGCTCCGTTCTTCCCCCTTTCCATTCTTTCCCTTGTGTGGGCTTGTTTACTTCCGGTGGTGCATGTCAGTGGTGCATCAGGCGATGGCTGCTCCTTCCATTCCTTCCGAACCAACACTTACAAGCTGAACTACCTTGAGACCCCCTCAGGCATTAAGGCAAGTTTTGTAATGCCATGCACTCTCCAATGCTATGCATTCTCTTATAATCTTCAGTGTATATGGTGGCTCTTATTCTCCTCTTGTTTTTTTCCTCAAGGGTCCTGCCACTTTTACCTAACTGGAATTGTTTCTTTGCTTGCCAAGTCTGTTATGTTCTGTCTTTGTCTATGGTTTGTGAACTGCAGATAATACTAGTAACTGATCCGAAGATGAGCGACCTCCGGGATGCTTTGAAGCACATATACACCAACATATACGTTGAATACGTCATTAAGAACCCTCTTTATGTGCCAGGCGAACCTTTCAGGTATGTCAGGGAGCAGAATGAAGAGGGTGTTGGATGGGGGATGCTGAGAAACTAAGTATAAATTTGCGCACACTTAGCGCATGCATGATGACACATCAATCGTGCGGTCTCTGAATTTGCTCGAACTAAAAAATTTGTGATCAGTGTCCACCTCCAACGTGTACCACTCCCTTAAGGGCCGTAGGAGGGATGGAGAAGGAAGAAGGTAGTGAATAGGGAACACAGTCGAGAAAGGAACATTCAGATGGGTGAGGTGTTGGATGAGATATCCCCAACGTGGCCTGGAGTGGATGGGTGGGTGGTTGCTGCTGTGTTATGTTTCATTCAGTTTTTTTGCTGTGTAATCCACCTAGAGAGGTAGAGAGATACGCCATACTAATCGTCGACTCCCTTTTGCCCCTCCCCCTTTGTTTACGATCTTGTTCGTTCATTTGTGCAGATGCGAGTTGTTCATAAGTAGTTTGGACTCTTATGTGACAACACTATCCTAGGCAATATCGTAATGTAAATATACTCTTCTCCTTTGCATCCTTTCAAATAGGGTTTAGTGCAGCTAAGAGGAATATTTCATATTACTTTCTTAAATGTTGTTGTGCGGAATAAAGGATTCATAACTGACTTGAAATATTTCCACCGGGTGTAGCGCTGATGTGGCCTTGTGTAAGGAATTTTCTCGGCATTCCTTACGGAGCCCGACTACATCGCGTACAGCAACAGCCGTTGTTCGCCCGTTACTGCTAACGGGGCTTCGCCGACTTCGCGCACACTGTTTTCACCAAACCTCGCACTGCTGGCATGGCCGTGTCGGCCTACGCTTCGGGACTAGCCCAAGCCTCGCTCCAGCGTAGCACTAGCTAGCTCGCACGCACCGCGTTACCGTTTGCATGTTTCGCGTATAAATGTTCGCTCATGCCTTCGCTCACATTTTGTACTCGTTTGACACCTTAGTGTCAAATGTTGTAGCCTGTAGTGAGGTTTGTCTTAGGGGGTACAGAAGTTAGGGTTTATTATATGTACCCAACCAACATCAATGGCATCATCATTCCTCATTTTGACATGGTATCAGCTAGGTTAGGATCCTGTGGGATCCCGTTCCTCCGTTCTCCGTTCGTCCCTCCCGAGCCTGATCCTACCTCTCGTTCGTACCGGTTCCGTTGTTACCGCGCCTAGTACCGAGCCTAGCGCCCTCTCCCCCCGTCGCTTAGCGCCCTTTCTCCCCGTCGCCTAGCGCCCTTTCCCCCTCCCCCCCCCCCCCCCCCCCCCCCCGTCGCGTCGCGCCCTTTCCCCCCGTCGCCTAGCGCTCTTTTCCCCCCGTCGCGTCGCGCCCGTTCCCCCCGTCACGTCGTGCCCGCCCTTTCCCCCCCCGTCCCGTCGCCCTGTCCCGTCGCGTCGCCCTGCCCCGTCCCGTCGCCCTGCCCCGTCGCGTCGCCCTGCCCCGTCCCGTCACCCTGCCCCGTCGCGTCGCCCTGCCCCGTCGCGTCGCCCTGCCCCGTCCCGTCACCCTGCCCCATCGCGCCGCCCTGCCCCGTCGCGTCGCCCTGTCCCGTCCCTACGCCCTGGCCCGTCGCCCTACCCTACGCCCTGGCCCGTCGCCCTAACCCTACGCCCTGGCCCGTCGCCCTACCCTACGCCCTGGCCCGTCGCCCTACCCTACGCCCTGGCCCGTCGCCCTACCCTACGCCCTGGCCCGTCGCCCTACCCTACGCCCTGGCCCGTCGCCCTACCCTACGCCCTAGCCCGTCGCCCTACCCTACGCCCTGGCCCGTCGCCCTAGCCCGCTCTTCCGCTGCGACTGAGTCCCCTTCCCACCTGAACCCTAATTTGCCTCTTCTCCCCGGTTGTTACTCGCCTGTTCGTTCGCGTTAGTTCTCACTATGGCGGACTCCGCGAGTTCTTCGTTTCGACGCTGACGGTAGACCACTTGACTTTTCCGTCTGGCTTCTTCGCGCTCGCCGTCTGTTAGAGAGTCAGGTCCAGGGGGGCGAGACCCTCTGGTCGCACGCTACTGGTGACCTCCCCGAGCCCCCCGAGCCTACAGCTTTAGGCTCTGCCCCTGACGACGCTGCTACGGCTCGCTTTGCCCGTCAGCGCGCTGACCGGACGGCTTGGACGTCGCGTGACGCTGCGGCCTGCATCGCACTCAGCAGCCTCCTCCCTGAGTCAGAGGAGGTCCACTTTACTCAGGTTCGCACCGCTGCTGCGTACCTCACCGCGATTAAGGCCCGCTACTCTACTCCCGCTACTGTCTCTCTTGGCCGTCTTTTCCTCCCGTTCCTGTTTCCTGATCTCGCCTCGTTTGAGCGCTCTGCTGACTTGATCGCTCACCTCCGCTCGCTCGACGCTAGTTACCGCGCTGCTTGCACTGAGGCACAGCTTGCACTGCTTCCTCCCCCCATGGCGATTACTGTCTATTTCATCGCCACTAGCCTCCCTGACCGCCTAGCCTCCGTTCGTGACGCGCTTCTGCTGAAGCACCCTAGTGAGCTGACTATCGAGGTCCTTGAGTCTGCACTCAAGGACGTCGAGAGCAACCTTCGCTCGGTAGCTGCCGCCTCTGGTACTGTGTCCCCCCCACTCTTCCACGGGTGCACAGTCCCGCAGTTACCCACCTTCACTGCCTCTCTCGCCACTGCCGCTACTGACGCGACTGCGGCTGCTGTTACGACTGCGTCGCGGTCCCGCGGCAAGGGGGGCAAGAAAGGTAGTTCTGGTGGAGGTGGAGGTGGAGGTAGCGGAGGTAGTGGGGGTGCTGTTGCGACTGGCGGTGGTGGGAGTGCAGCGTCTGGAGAGACCCCTCGTGCAGCGGCTGGTGACTCCACTGCGCCTGCTGGTGGCGGCGACCCCCGAGCTCGTCAGTCGCCTCCTGTACTGCCGACCCCGCTAGGTGGAGCAGCGGCGTGGTACCAGGCTCAGCGTCAGCAGCACCTTCAGCAGCAGCAGCAGCCCCTTTCCTCCCGCCAGCCTCAGCAGCAGCAGCGTCAGCAGCTGGCTCCGGGGTCGGGGCTGCGTCAGCCCCAGCGCGGTGCTTCTTACCCTCCCTGCACCTATCAGGTTCTGACAGGTCCTCGTCGGGGCCACCCTTGTGGCCGCTTTCACCCCCCTGGTCAGTGCTTTGCTCAGCTCACTGACACGGTCCGGTTGGCCTACGGGGTTGGCGGTCCTGCTCTTGACTGGCTTCCTCTGGTTCAGCGCTACGGCTCCGCTCTGTGGGGCATGTCTGCTGAGCAGTTAGTTGATCTGATTGGTGCTCCTCATGCTATGTATGCTGTTGTTGACTCTAGTGTTTCTGACTCTGTTTACTCTGGTGTTGTTAGCTTAGGTGCTAGTCTTGCTCAGTTGCCTGTTGCTAGTGTAGGTTCTTGTGTAGACTCTAGACCAGCGACTACCTCAGAGGACGCTTCGCTGTCGTTCACGCTGGACTCTGGAGCCTCACACTGCTTCTTCCGGGACAGCACGACACTTACACCACTTCCTGCGCCTGTTTCTGTGGCTTTGGCTGATCCCACTACGGGACCAGTCACTGCACGTCACACTACCACTTTACCGTGTCCTGCTGCTCCCTCCGGGTCTCTCACTGGGTTTCACGTCCCCTCGTTCTCCCGGAACTTGGTGGGCGTGCGACCCCTCGTGAGTCAGCACGTGGGTGTGTGATTTGAGCCTTCTGGAGAGACTGCGGTGTGTGTTGACGGAGACTCTTACCAGCCTCTTGCTACCTTTACTGCTGAGCCGGGCTCAGGTCTCTACACTCTTCACACTGGCCCGTGTGCGCCGCAGCAGCAGCCGCAGCAGCAGCAGCAGCAGCAGCAGCTGCACCAGCGGTCGCACCAGCAGCCGCCCCTACTGCCACTGCCCCCGGTTCCCCCCCCCGTTCGGGTCCCCGCGTCTCACCAGGTTGCTTCGTCCCCCCAGGTGTCTGTGTCGTGTCAGGTTCCTACGTCTGCTCCAGTCGCTGCGTCGTGCTCCTGCCGGTCGCTTGCCCACCCCACCGTTCTATGGCACCACCGGATGGGGCACCCGTCCCTTCCTCGTCTGCGCGCTATGTCTAGTCAGCGTCTTGTCCTAGGCCTCCCACGTGTCTTGCCGTCGCTGCCGCCTTCGCTTGCGCCGCCGTGTGGTCCCTGCGTCGAGGGTCGGCTGCGCGCCGCCCCTCACTCCTCCTCCCTTCGTCCGGCCACCGAGCCTTTTGAGACGCTTCACTTGGACGTCTGGGGCCCCGCCCCTCGTCTAGGCCCTGAGCGTGAGCGCTACTTTCTGGTGGTCGTTGACGACTTCTCCCGCTACACCACAGTGTTCCCTCTGGCGAAGAAGTCTGAGGTGACTTCTACGCTGATCAGGTGGTTGCTCACCACCGAGGACACTCGTGGTCGTCGTGTCAGCTGCCTCCACTCTGACCGTGGGGGTGAGTTTCGCTCCGGCATTCTCGCTGGATTCTGTCGCGAGCAGGGCATTCGTCAGTCCTGGACGCTTCCAGAGTCCCCACAGCAGAATGGGGTTGCTGAGCGCCGCATAGGCCTGGTCATGGAGATCGCCCGCACCTCCCTAACTCACGCCTGTGCCCCCCATTTTCTGTGGCCCTACGCGGTCAGGTACGCCGCGCACCAGCTGAACCTCTGGCCACGTGTCTCTCGACCAGAGGTTTCACCGACCAGTCTTTGGACATGGTCCCCTGGTGTTGCGTCGCGGTTTCGTGTCTGGGGGTGCTTGGCTCTTGTCCGCGACACCTCCGCGGACAAGCTCTCGCCTCGTGCCGTCCCCTGTGTCTTCCTTGGTTTCCCTGAGGACTCCTCTGACTTCACCTTTTACCACCCTCCCTCTCACCGGTTCTTTGACTCCCGTGACGTCCGTTTCGAGGAGTCCACTCCGTACTACGTCAGGTACCCCAGTCGAGGTCTCCAGGTTCCTCCTCCCCCCCTCTTCCTTACTGCCGCTCCCCCTCCTGTTCCCCCGGTACAGCCTCCCCCCCCTGGTCCAGCCCCGTCGGGTGTGTCCCAGGCTACCCC